TTGTAAAGTCTAGTTATCTTTTGAAATTCCGCTGCTTATCATAGTTTAATTCTTTGGGAATGTACATGCCATTGTGGGCATATTTTTTTGGGTTAACATGTAAATTTGATGGATTGATTATATAGTAGTTAATTGGACCCGGTGTGGTCATTATAGTAGAATTGCACAGGTTGAATTTTGTGGTAGAGCTCCCCGTACAAAGGAGACTCTGCCCGAATTTTGTTAAAATATCAATGGTTGATGGATAAAAATTTCTTATTTATGGATTTATTTAGTGCTCTCATGATTGTGAAAGGTTTTAGAATGTAATGCCGTCCGAGGGGGTATTTGGGGCGTTACAAAAACAGGTGAAAAAGACAAAACTGGGCAAAGTTTACCGGTATAGTCTGATCCAGAAAGAAAATCGTACCTTGCGGTACGCATTTTTTAGAAGCTTTTCCAAACTTTGAAATTTTTTTTAAAATCCTTTTCCCAGGCCTTTGGGCTAAGTATCCTTTAGTCCCTATAATGTAAATGAACCATAATGGATAAAATTTCGGTAATGGGATAATATTAGCGTGATATCAGATCAAGCGGCACTCATGGGCAATTTCGCGGATTGACGGGTTGTTAACGGAACCCCCGGTTTTAGGGGCGTCATAGATTCACAAGAACTCAATGTCATATGGGACATTAGCCATGGAGGAGCCAAGTAAAGCATGTTTAGTTCAATTGCTTAAGAGTCCTTACCTTCACAGAAAATCATTGCGACTATAGCATAATGGAAATGTATTGCAATTGGCATCATAATACACGTAGCGTGAAACTTACATTGATTCTTTGAGCCTTATGTCTACTCTCACATATAGGAATTAACGTCAAAAAAAAGAGGTTGCATGACATTATCAGGGTCGACCCTAGTCCTAGGCCACTTAGGTGGCTGCTTAGGGCCCCCATTTTTTGTAAAACTTTGGGGCTCTCAATTTATATTTTTAGTTATTGGTACATATATTTTGAATGGACTAATTTGAGGGGCCCAAAATTTATTAATAGGCCCATTAGCTCTATAACAACTTACCTAGTAAATTGCTCCACTTGTCAGCCGTATTAGATGCCTAGACTTCAACAACGTCTCTCCCTTTCTTGTCTATGAAAAAAAGAATTCAATTAGAAAAAAAATACGAGATGTTTTAATTCAATTAACAAAAACTAGTGAAAATCCTAAAACATGGAATGAAGCCAAATGCTTAGCTATATAAGATTGAAAATTTTGAATTTTTATTGGGTATGAATATTTGATATTATATATTATTTGCTATTAACACAGTTAGTAAATACTTACAATCCAAATACATGCATATTGATGTTGCTATTGATCAATTAAAAGGACTTATTTCTTTTTTAGAATCATATAGAGAAAATGGATTTTACTCTGCTTTGATTTTATCAAAAGATACTGCACTTACAATGGAAATAAAACCAGTATTTTGTGAAAACCGTAAAATTCTTAGGAAAAACCAATTTGGTGATGTAGTTGAGAATGCAGTAACACTATCAGCTGAAGAACCTTTTGGATTGAGTTTATTTTGTATGTAATTGATTTAGCTATTTCTTCAATCCAAAGTAGGTTTGAAAAATTCAAAATATATAAAAATATTTTTATTTTTTATTTTGTCTTAAAAAATTAAAATCTTTAGATGATGATAGTTTGAAAATGTATTGTCTTAACCTTGAAATTTTTTTGAAGCATGACTTATTTTCTAATATAAATGGTTTAGATTTATTTCAAGAATTGAATGTATTAAGAAAGTCTTCCAATATGAAATTAACACTCCAACTAAAACCCTAACTTATATAAAACGATTAATTTTTTTTCCAAATGCATGTATAACTTTTATAATATTGTTAACAACGTAGTAACTTCGGCTGAGAGCTTAAATTAATAAAAGCTTATCTCTGATCCACTATGTCACAAGAAAAATTAAATGAATTAGCTATATTATTTATTGAAAAGGATACATTAGCAAAACTTGAATATACAAATTTAATCAATTTTTTTGCATCTTAAAAAGCAAGAAAAATTGCCTTTAAATGAATATATTTCAATGATTATTTAGTATGATATATATATATATATATATATATATTACCTATTAATAGGGCCCCACATCAGACTCTCCTAAGACCTCTAGATCTGTTGGGCCGCCCCTGGACATTATAAACCCTATGATCAACGTTCAAAACCAGAAAAGTTAACCAATTTTCCTTATTCACTCTTGTAACCCCTTGAAGTAAATCCCTATTCCTAAGTAGTTGTCTGCGTTCTGCTCATGCATATGAAATTGAAGTTTGCACAACTTATATTATATTTTTATCCCTTGAATTTCTAACTGTCATTTCAAGCATGTGAATTAGTATATACAATGTTATCAGTTTTTTAGTGAATAGATATCTAAAAAAATTGGAAAGTGTGAATGGACCCACAAGAGTTGGTTTGTTATTTATAAGATAATTTTTGTTTATTTTTGTTGTAAATTTTGAAAAAAGTTATTCCCAACTTAGACATACATTAATTTATATTTAAAATAGTTCACATACAACGCATGTGTACATCAAATAGTATATATAAATGTCAGTTAATCGTAAAAAAAATTGATTTTTTATTTTACCCTCGCATATTTTTACAAAGCAATCAAGTCCTTGTCTTTTAATCTTCTCGTAGTATTTAATTGATTAATATCATTATGTTTATTTTCTCGAAAGGATTTTCATGTTAAATTACTTTATGTTGTGATTGTTGTTTGTTGCTTTACTTTACACACACACAAAATGTCTCACACATCATGTGCTTGATCTTATACTTGAATGTTTAAATTTATGTTGTGATCAAATTGTGGTTGCTTAAAATATGTGGAAAGATTTTGGAGGGATAAGAATAGTGGAATTGAATTGAAGTGAGATTGATTGTTTATTTTTGTATTCTTGCATCCATATATTCATTCAAGGGTTGTGCACTAAAAGGAGTTAATTGACCATATTAATTAATTGCCAATTGTGATAAGTAGGTTTAATTGAGCAAAATTCTACAAGAAATGTAAAAAGCCTATTCACCCCCTCCAGGTCATGGTAAACTTAACTTTCATAAATAATTGTGTCGAACATGATCTAAACGCACTTTTCAAACTTAACACGATATTTGGTATTAGTTATGACCTATGTTCATGTTATCCCAAAAGATAATAAATTCCCTCAAAACTTGTAAGTTCACCAAAATAATAATATCATTACCTCAAATAATTTCAATTCAAACGTTCCTCACAACTGATCGTATATCACCCCAAATTAGTTGTAATTTAAATCCATGTGATTGGTAACTGCAATCCCATTTGGTAGTAACTTAAAACAGTATTATAGTAACATCAACTCCAAAAGATTGCTGGTGCTATCTCCTTTGTTTTGTGGTTGCCCTGGTAAGAAGTTATCCAATTTTTTTTTTTGGGACAAAGACATGCACATATAATACACAAATAATCCACACACCAAAGTTCCACCAAAGTTACTCAAGCATACTACCAAAAAAGGGACCCACATACCAATTCCACTTAAGAAGTTATCCAGTTCAATTAGTGAACAAATGATATATTTATACTATATTCAACCCAACCTCACATGAATAATTAATAAATGTTTTCGATAAGAAAATAGAATATTGTTGATTACTCAATTTTGAATCATGTGGATTGACGTATCTAGACATTTTAATCCATTTTAGTATACTTTCTCCCAATATATTAATCATCTATGGTAGAGGTACTACTATATTTTTTGTTCTACTTGATTTCCTTGAGGGCAATTTATTATTTAGAGAAATTAAGAAAAAAAAATCTAATGGATGGATCCAAATCCTATGACACACCATGTTTTGTCTGTTTCTGAGTAGCTTTATCACAGAGTACGTTACCAAACAGATACATACTCTCTCTCTCTCTCTCTCTCTCTCTCTCTCTCTGGACAGTGCTTTTTGATAGTAGGTGCATAGATTCTAGATCTCATGAATCATTCCAGAACTCTATACTTAACTTCTTCATGCCCTCGTTATTTCACTTTTTGAGCATAAAGTTTCTCTTAAAGTTGATTCCTTTAGCTAGTTTAGCACTACCTTTATTTTGAGTTCTCTAGTTGCACACCCGTCTTAAGTCTTAACCACTTTTAATAATTCCAAGCATTTTCCTCTGGTTTAACCTCGATTTTCTAAATCTTGAATCCTGTCTTATGATGACAGGCTGTTTTCGAGATGCTTAAATGATTTCCTTTTTCTATATTATTGCCTTAGATTCTCTTCTTTAGCTCCATTTCTACAGCTTATTAGGTTCGATCTTCCTTTTTTGGCTTTCGTTTTAATCTTTTTGTGGAACCTTTAGACCATCTTAGTTACGGGTATTGTTCCATTCTAGCTAGATGGGGCTTTACAGAGTAAAAGCATGTTCCTTTTTCCTCAAATAATTTTGTTGTTCTTGTTGTCGATTTATTATTGTTTTCAGAGCAGCTGTTTAGGTCTCTCTCTCTCTCTCTCTCTCTCTCCTCTCTTACCACTTAGTTCATCTGGGTGTCGAGTTCCTAACCAGATTTGAGTTATTTCTTTGTTTTTTCTATGTTTCTGTGTTTTTACCTAAGTTTGTGGTCATAATAAAGCCTTATTGCATGTGGATATAAAATTTCCTAATCACTTGCTGCACTCTATAGTGCTCGACGCACTTTCATCCAATCAAGGTGTTTCTAGTCCCCACTGGGTGCTCAGTTCCTGACCAGATTTGAGCTTTTTCTTTGTTTTCTCTATGGTTTTGTTATTATGCCTACTTATTTGGTAGTAATCATGTCTTATTGCATATGGAAATAAACTTTCCTAATCACTTAGCTGCAACCTATAGTTCCAGACACACTTTTATCAATCAAGGTGTTTCTAGTCTCCTGTGGGTTCCCAAAAAAAAAAAAAATTCCATAAAAGCTGATTTTTTCAAATAATGGGTATATTTTCAGTGGCATTTGGGGTTCTGTTGGTATCAATACTTACATGGGTGCATGTAGTGAGTGGGATTGGTGCTAACTGGGGCACACAGGCAACCCATCAACTCCCTCCAGATACAGTGGTGAGACTGCTATGGGAAAATGGGATTCAGAAGGTTAAGCTTTTTGATGCCAGTTATGATACTCTAAAAGCTCTGGGAAAGTATGAGATTGAGGTTATGGTGGGTATCCCCAATGATATGCTTGCTTCTATGGCTAGCAGCATGAAGGCTGCAGAGAAATGGGTTGATAAAAATGTCTCTACTCATATGACCACCAATAATGTCAACATCAGGTTAGCCTCCTTTATCACCCCCTTATTTAGTTTCATGATTATGTGTCATTCAATACCTCTTGAAGTATTTGAGGAACTGATATGATTGTATTATAGAGTATCTTATTTTCATGCTCATGGTTTTGTTTTCTAGTTGTTGAGGTGATTAATTTCCCTAATGTGAGCTGTAGCAAGCAGGATTAGGCTTTTCTTGTGATTATTAATTTGTTAGTGGGTTTTGTTCATCCACATTTTATATTATGCCTTAGACCATGGTTCAAAATATCTGTTATGACTTTGGCCGAGTCCTATTCAACTCAGGCACCTTAAATCGATGGCAGATACTGCAACTTTTTTTTTTTTAATTTTTTTTTTTTTGGAAGGGGAAGGGGAAGGTGGAAGGGGAGGGGGATTTGAACCCTGGACCTCAATAAGTCAAAACTTTTACAAGACAAGGAGAACCATTGAGCCAAAGACCCATTGGTTACTGCAACTTGAACCATGCTTTAGACTGTCAGAATGAGTCGTAAGCTTGACTGCTGGAATGCAATAGATTTGGCCTCTTAATTTTTTGGGCTCTTACATAGTGCTACCTCATAGTATATGGGCATACATGCCGGCACTTACTAGAAACTCAGGCGTGTCTTTG